AACAGGGTTGTCCCTAGCTGGGTGCAGGGTCTGAGGCACCCCCCACCACTGTAGGCCATGCCTCACCTCCACAGCTTCCCTCAAGCCCCGCCCTTGCCCCACCCCTGATTGCCTCCCTCCCCCAAGCAATGCAAATTGGGGGATTATCAGGGGCTTGCCAGCAGGGGGTCAACCAAGCCCCCGCTTCACTCACTGCAGCAACGGGAGCCAGAACAGCCCAGAAGCCTGCTCCACTCCAATCCACCCTGCCACCCTCTCCCAGCCCTCTGCGCCCTGCTTCTCTGCAGCAGTGGGAAGTGGAGCACCGTGGGACCAGGATCCTGCTCCCACAGAGAAGCAGAGTGCAGTGGGCCAGGAGAGGGTGGTGCGGTGGAGCAAAGCAGGCTGATGGGCCACTCCAGCTCTTGCCACTGTGGTGAGTGCAGGGGGGGCACAACCTCTACTGCCACCCCACACCAGGCCCCCTCGTAAGCCCCTGGAGCCTGTCCATAGAGTGGTTGAGGCAGTCGCCCCAGAGCCCCCCAAAGCGTGGGACAGCCGTCCCGAACCATCCTCTTTGCCACCACAGCCTGGACGGTGGGAGAAACTGGCTACAGTCTCGCTGCGTCCCTGTGCATTGGTGCCTGATCATGCAACCTGAAAATCATAAATTCAGAGGCCTATGTCTGATCCACATGCAGCCAGTGAGGTCTCACTACTTTGTCATCTCTCAGGGCTGAAGTGATGGATGGGCCTCGCACTGGGAGGAGAGAGCTAGAATACACCATAAGGCTACGTCTAGACTGGCATGATTTTCCGGAAATGCTTTTAACAGAAAAGTTTTCCGTTAAAAGCATTTTCGGAAAAGAGCGTCTAGATTGGCACGGACGCTTTTCCGCAAAAGCACTTTTTGCGGAAAAGCGTCCATGCCAATCTAGACGCGCTTTTGCGCAAAAAAGCCCCGATCGCCATTTTCACGATTGGGGCTTTTTTGCGCAAAACAATCTCAGCTGTCTACACTGGCCCTTTTGCGCAAAAGTTTTGCGCAAAAGGGCCTTTTGCCCGAACGGGAACAGCATAGTATTTCCGCAAAAAGCACTGATTTCTTACAGTAGGCAGTCAGTGCTTTTGTGGAAATTCAAGCGGCCAGTGTAGACAGCTGGCAAGTTTTTCCAGAAAAGCTGCTGATTAGTCTAGACACAGCCCCTAAGTGTATGGACATGTATGCTAATTAGTCCAAGGAGCCTGGGTTTTTGAAAGCTTCAGTTGTGCAAATGGATAAATGCCTTTGATTTCACTCAGGCCAAAATAGGTGCGAGGGGGTAGACACAGACATCAGGTAAGTGGTGTCAGAAGTGTCGTGATTGGTATAAAGCAATGTCATTCCTATCACATTAGCACTTGATAAGTTGGTCCCTAATGGCCTACACTAGAATATTTATTGTAAAACGAAACATTTGGCTTATAAAAGTGACTAAATGTGCCACCTATATCAGACATATAGAAGGTATCATAAACCCATGCACGTTTACTAATTTTTTTCCCTCTAAATTATTTCCAACTCTCAGTTAAGTTGAAACATCTACAAATCCCTTATTTCACTATAATATGTTATACAATGCTTGTGTGTATTATTCTGTCGCTACTCAGCTTGGTTGAAAAGCTTTTCTGATCTTAATTGTTTTGTACTGTGGCAGATCTGGACTGATTTACTGGTCAATAAAATATTTAAAACTGCGCTTTTAGTGTTATATAAGTCAGCAAACACATCAGCCACAGAGGTGCATATTAGAAACACATCAATAGATGAGCTTTTATTTCTGGTCACAAACCCTTTAACATCATGTTTTCTGCTAGGATTGCCAGGTGTCTAGTTTTTGCCCAGACAGTCCGGTAATTGAGTCATCTGTCCAGTTTTAAAAAAACCAACAACCCAGAAAATACCTGATGATGTAAAATAATGTAAAAGGCTGGTGGGGACATTTTCCCTCTGTGCGTCTGGAGGGGGGCAGGAAGCAGGGAGCACGGAAATGTAAAGGTGCAGCAACTTTTTTTTTGCTCAACCAATTTTTTCCCTGCCATGTTTTTTGTGACAACCCTATTTGCTGCTCAGCGTCAGGCCTTAAATGGCCGTTATTGGCCTGCAGAACGCAGTTGCATTGGAATTTTCTTTTCTTTGCTGATATAGGCTGCCTGCCTGCTGAGGCCATAGTAAACCAATGCCAGTTTTTCTGTCGCAGCAACTGCTGCTCTGCTACAAAGTGACACTACAACATAATTGTAGTTACGTTCCCTCAGTGCAAGGCAGTGTTTTCATCTGCCCTCATGTGGGTTAGGACCAGAGGTGACAGTAAGCTGGTGCCCCCCTCAGTGTGCCATCCATCCTGGCAAGAAGGTATTGACGAGCTAAGGCATTCAGCTGCAGGAGGTGAGGCGGGGGCGCTTCCAGCTTGGCTCTTGAGGCCCTCCTGTATGGAGCTGCCGTAAACAGCCAGGTGGGTGAAAGGTGCCAGGTGGGCACAGGCTCCACCAGTTTGGGACTGCTCCAACACGCCCCCCCAGGAGCCATTTAAGGAGGGCAGGGGCTGAAGCTGCTTCCTCCCCACAAGAGTCGTACCCAAATGCTGTTGACCATCAATTTGCTGCATTCCTTTCCCTGTGGCTGGGGAGGGCAAGGGGCAGAGGAACTTTGCTCTTGCTACCTGACAGGGACAGGAAGGGGAAGAGCAAACAGTGTCCTGGTATGAAGCTTCTGGGGCGGCCCCTTCCCGCATCGTACCCTGCCCTGAGGCCCCTCCCATACGCTCAATCCTGGTGCCTGTGCCTTCCCCTCACACCCTGCTCTCACATACCCTCCCCTGAGCTCCTTATATCCCCATCCCCTGCCCAGAGTTGTCCCCCACAGCTGCCAACACTTTCCAACCCCCTGCCTTGGCCTGCTCCCCACACTCAACTTTCTTATCAGTACAGGTTTGACCTCCCTGGGCCAGAACCCTCAGGACTTGACTGGACCCAGATAAGGGATTTTTTCTGGATCGGGGAGGTCATTTCTGAACCCCCTGCCGCTGGCCCTTCCTTCTCTGCCCCCCACATTGGGCTTCCCAGCCCCTTGCAGCCCAGCTGAGCCACAGGGTGGCTCCCTTCCCCTGCCCAGCTGAGCTACATGCTGGTTCCTGCAGCCCACTTTGGCTGTGTATCGCCTCCCTCCCCACTTTGCACCAGGATCCCAGCCTCCTCCATGGAGTTCTGGGCCCCGCTGAGCTTTCCGGCCCACGGATGTTGCCAGACCAGAGAATTCCGGTTCACAGAGGTGTAAACTGTACTGTACACCCTCTTCCCTTGCAGGTCTTCTGTCTCAGAGGGGTGTGGTGGTGGTGGTTTACGTTGCAACAGTACTTGTAAGCAATGTGTTACTTTCATCCCGGCCAGGACAATGAAATGCATGGGCAGCCCCTAGGAGGTTTCAAGCCACGTATGTGCCAAAGGTGCCAGCAACCCCATGCAGCATCAGTGCAGTTAGCCCAGGAATGGGCCAAAGGGCATGCTGTCTAGTCCTTTTCCACTCTGAACCCGCAAGCTCGCCTTCATCCCCAGCATGAGGTTAGCAGTCTTCACACCCCTCTGCTGCCTGGCCCTGGCAGCATAGGGATGCTCCGTCCCCTAGGCTTTGTGCCAAAGCAGCAGTGCCTCCTGCTGGGGTCATCTTCCCCTCCTGCACCGCCTCTGGCTGGATTGCATGGCTGCAGAAGCTGGTGCAGAGTGAAGCACTCAGAGGTAGAATTGCTGGTTCATCTGTTACTGGGTGTGAGGAAAAGACCTGTCCCAACTACTCCAATGGCCCTGCCTGGACAGACTCTCCACCGTGATGTGTGCAACTGCTCTGCTCTTCCTAGTTGGGTCATTCATGGGAGCAGTCAGGAAACAAGAGCTACCGTGTTTTGATCTGTGAGTATACCTACACTTGGCCATTCCTCCTCTTTTGCCCCCGACAGTTCAGTTCTTGGAAGTGCATTGCCATTAACCAGCATTTTACTCTCTTGCTGAAGAAGCGTGACTGTACCATGAATGTGTACAGGAACTCGTATGTTGTGCTTTCACAAACAGGTGTTTAATAGTAATTTATTAGTGAACCTTTGTGAATCAGAAATAAATTACATTTCAGTACCAACGTTTTTGCCATTTCTTTCCCCCACAAATATTTTGACCCTCCCCCCCTTTCTGATCAAATGGCTCTCTACCAAGAAAATGTCACCCAGACTATTAGTTTGCAATTTTATTTTTAAAAATGAAATATTCAAAGTACTTCTTTCTTCTCTTTCAAATATCGACACATAATATATTAACTTTTAATATTTACAACATGTTGTTATGAGGCTGTTGTAGAAAATGCATGCTTCTGGTCTGAAAACCAGAGCAAAATGCAACAGACCATTAACTGCAGCCATTGAACATAACCTGTACAGTATCCAGTCACTATTCAGCCACAGGAGTTAGAGCAGGAATAAAAAAATTGGAATCTAGTGTTTCCTAGCAACAAGGCTTAGGCCTTCATAACACAATTTCTGTAAGATTAGAACCTCTAACTGTTAGGTAGAAACTGAAGCTCTTGGCATACACTGTAAACATCTTTACTTTTAATGAAAAAGCTAAAGAGAAATATGTTTTTGACATATACTGTGTGCTATGTTTCAATTCGACAATTTTGTCAGAAGAATATTAAGATTTCAATGTTTTATCATGGTTCATACAAGTAAAATATCATCAAGGACACAATCTGACATACTAACATTTATTAAGAGCTAAAGTCCACCACTAAGTCTAAGGAAATATTGTAACTGGCAAACACATTTTCTTGGACAAATAATGTAAGATGACAAATGCCAAGACAAAGCCACAGTAAGTTGAACTTGAGTAACTGTCAGTTTCTTTTGAAAAGTAATTCCTCTTACACTCAGTAAGCTTTTGACCTGATAATGCTTTGTATAAAGGCCAGGCTTAAATAACAGTCAGCATTTTATTTGTGTCTATTTTGTGGGAAAAAAACATTGTGGTGGTCTGATCTGAACATTGAAATGTTAGTCTGATCATGTTGAAAGGAAGTTGTAGATTTTTTTCTTTTGTTAAAATATGCTTCAACTTTTCTATAGGCAACTGTTTATAACACTCTAATCGTAGGCTACTGTACCTTGGTTTCCGACAACATTAATCTCTATTATAGTTATCCTTCTAAAAGTATCACTTTATAACACATTGCTTGCCCTTCCCGCCCCAGAGTGATTATAGAAAGAGGGCTTGGTGAACGGGACTAAATGCAGATTTTGAAAAAACAAAATTTCTGAAAGTGCATGACAACATGACTAAAAAAGAGAGCTTCTAACTACCATACAAAAATGAGAGGACATTAAAGATCTCAAACTAAACAGTTAAAATGTGTACACCGAGTTGCACATTGTCCAGTTTGTGTATATTTGGCTATATTCTACATACATATCTATACACCTTTGAAATGTTCTAGTTTTCTAAATAAATATGAAAACAAAGAAAACATTAGTTTTTACACACAAGTTTTGCTGTCATAAAAATATAACATATATAGTCTCATGGTAAGTATTTTGCTACAAGATAGTGTGCATGAGTGCGTGTTTGTATTTTCACTTTTAGAACTAATTTCCCAACCCAGAATGCAACCATCAATTTATTTGATCTAAACAACCATAAAAATGGCCCATATAACTTTTGCTTTGTTTTATGTTTTTGTCATTTGGGTCTCTAGGCTTTAGTGCAAAATTAAAAAAAAAAAAACACTAAGAAAATTGGCTTAGTCACTAAAAAATAAACAAATGTGGAGACTGAAACATTCCCTGCCTCTATCTAATATAGTTCTTGGACAAGATGGTTTACATCTATTCATTCACTGGAGCTCTCTTAAATGGTGCTTGATCTGTGGGTAAGAATAACATTGGCCTCCAGTGCTCTTGTATTAATAAATACATGCCATTTTCTTTAGAAATGCTATTGTGTTTACCTAAAAAATGACACCATTTTTATTTTTCTCAATTTCATAACCAAACACAAAAAAGACAGTTTCTTATGCCACCAGAATACAGGGCCATGTAATGTCATTTGATTCTTTATACATCCATATTTTCACAAAAAATACTGCCTAAAAATGTATCATATTTTCTATGCATAAATTGGAAAAATGCCAAATATGCTTTCAGAGACAACCTTGTAATACATTTCACTCATTGACCTTTTGGCATAATAATGAGAATAATCATCATCAAGGCAGTATTAAAAACCACAGCTGTAGGTAATACAAAGTGCATTTCCTGCATATAATACAAATAGAATTTTAAGAAACTAAAGGCACAAGCTAACTAAATATGTATTACATACTAGAAATGCACAGTTCAAGGTAATTTACTGATCAGTAAGAGCTTCAAATATTTGTTTATAATGGATCTTTAAAGCAGTTTGAAAATGATACATCATTAGTGAATTGCAAAAAAGTATAATTGGTTAAAATATAAGTAAAATAGACTCTAATATTGACATCTTGGATCAGTGATAAAATACATCATCACATTTATGAACGCACTCTCTATATACAGTTCATAAATTATTTTTCATTGATTAAAAGAACATCAGAGGCTCAAGAATCTGAAGGTCCATTTTTAGGCTGGTGTGGAGGTATTCAAATTCTCCATGATTTTATGGGAAATTACAGAAATCAGTGCTATAATTACCAGACTTGGTCAGCTCCCAAGACTGCATGTTAGTGAGTGATGCAGCCAGTCGCAATATTTGGATCTGGATTTCAATCCAAATTTCTCCATTGTTTTGGGTGGTGTGTGGATGGCATTCTTCTGGATCAGTTTGTCACTGGACCTGAACTTGCACCAGGGAAACTGCTCATTGAATTCTGTTGGAGCAGGACTGAATCCATAAAGGGAGGCCAAAATTGTGAAGTTGAGAGCTGGATCCAAATCTCCCCCAAGTCTGGGTGGATTCCCACCTGATTTTTCAGTTCAGGCTCATCTTTAAATTCAGTACAGTTTGTTTCACTTGCCCAAAAACAAAAACAAAACAAAAAAACCCAACCAAACAAATGAACAAAAAAAGAAAACAGGAAAAGAAACAAGCAAACAAACCCTGCTTTTAGCAAAAGTAAATCTGAGCAGAGATGATTAGATTATATTTACTATGTCTGTTTTTGGTTAAAATGTGCAATAATGTCACTGTGCAATAATGTCATACATCGATTTTAAAATAAAATTCCAATCCCTTCAGAAATTAACAGAGAAAATTTGCACACAACCCCCACCGAGACAAGTAGGTCCTTTAAAAATGACCAGTTAAAAGAAGGAACATACACTTTGCTATGAAATCATTATATTGACAGCCCATGATTACTGGTGAATTAAAATGCATGCCCTACCACCACACCACTTTGCTACGTGCTCTGCAGACTGAGCCAAAAGACTCTAGAATCATTTCCCAAATGTCCTACACTTACTATCCATACTTAGGTATTCTGATCCTTTTTCGCACATAAATATTGAAACATACAGCATAATTATTAATGTGAGAAGGAGCTAATGTGACGATGAAAAACTGATACCATTCCGATTTACAAATGAATCCTAACAGAAGACTTCTTGTCAAGTGAACAGAAAGGATACTATTCTCCATAGTGAGAGAAGACTTTTTTTACCTTCACTGGCACAGAGGGCATGTGTGAATCCTTCCAGCAGCGTGGCGTTGTTTGTCTGGGATGTACTGAATCAGGGCCTGAGCTAAAGCTCCCTGAAGTCATGCAAAGACTTTTGATCAGTCACTTGTGCACATTACTGCCCACTTTTAGAGTGATGATGGCTAGCTATGGCACCTTGTGCAATGCCCAGTCAAGTAGACTTTCAGCTTCTGTGCTTGGGGCTATGCCACAAGAATTTAGTCTAACCCATGTCTGACTGAAGACCTTGGGGAGAGAATCATAGAAGACTGCCACATGCAAAACCCTACACAACATGACATTTATTACTGAGAGAATGGAAGGAGACTAAGGATGAGTAAAGATAAATGTAATGTGGGACAGCCTTTCTGTGCTACTCTTATCCAAAGCCTACTGTGTTTCCCCATGTTGTTCAGGTCTGAAACTTCACTTAGTAGTGAAAAACAAAATGTGCTAATATAAGGGTCTAAAAAAGTTGTTCTTGTGAGCCATCCCATTAAAGGTTAATGGAAGAACTCAGGAAAGTAAGGACTATCCAGTGAGTAAGGGCTGCAGAATCAAGCTCTATAGCCTTTTTTAATAATCTGTGAGTTATTAATTAAATAAGAAAAGATGTATCTTCAAGAAGAAGGCAGAAGACACAGAATTCTTAAATATTCTGCATGTATCTGTGATTTAAACAAGAGTGGCATCTTTCTAAGTTGTGTTGTTGACCCATTTGAACTCTGCTTCTGAAATTTTTGAATACTGCCACACAAGAACTAAAAATCTTCACTGTCATCACTCAGAGTTAAACAAACAATATTAAAATACCATCTTCTGTCACATTTAAAGGCAGTTGGATATGTGTTTTCCTCTATATTTATATATACAGAGTCCTGATCTAGAAAAATCAATACAATAAACCATTTTATGTTTAAAAACAGGCAGTCTTTGGTGACGCAAAGGCAGAGGTTTTCTTTGTTACCTCCTGCCTATTTCACTCTGTCTCATAAAGTGAATATTGTTGGCACTGTCCGAAAGTTCAAGATACTGCTCTACAGATAAAACAAAGTATCCATCATAGCCTTGTACCCTCCCAGTGCTTAAAAGCTGCTGTTTTTCTCCCTCCGTCCATGCTCTAATGCCTTCTTCTCCTTCTTGCAGACGTCTTTGTTCTTTAGTCCAGGCCAGAGCTACTGCCCTCTGCCTGGCTATTTCTAAGACATGGTTCTTTTCTTCCTCAATGGTTGTCCCATAACGAACATTAAAGCACAAAGCACCATGCTGGAGCTGTATATCAGCAAACCGTCTAGTCCTCCCATTTATCACAGATGTCATCTGAGACACAGTGACATTGACACCATTCTCCAAAATGCGCCGGCCTCCTGTGTTGCCTATTAGAGCCAAGTCTTCTTCCAAAGACCCTAGCTTGATGAAATAGTGCGTGTCTCGTCCTTCTATGGTAAAATGCAGGTTCTCAAGATAGTGAGCATTGTTGAGGATGGCAGCAATGCGCCGGCTGTCCTCATTTGCTACTCCTATAATATCAGCAGTCACTATCCCATCCTTAATGGCAAATTTGATCCCTTTTCCAAACACAGACGGAATGGCTGCAAACCTGGGCTGTTTTCCTCCTTCAAGACATCTCCCATCACTGTACCTGGGGGTCATAGGAAGTTGATCCAAGGATATAAAGTTCCTAAGTTGTTTTTGCAGCTCACACTGAATGCCAAGGATAGTCTAGAAATGGAAACATTAACACAGTGTAAAGTAAAAAAAGTGTTAAGTACAGTTTATTACATTACCATTTGATATCAAGTTTCTACTGATATCTATAGCTCCTTGGAGTGGGTACTAATCCTTTACATTTGTCTGTAAAGCAGCATGCACATCTGTGATGCAGTAACAACAACACAACACTATAGTAATAAACTTTACAGTGGCTTGTTTGTACAGTCTCTTGAACTCTTCAGTGTCCCAGCATCAAATGAAGAATGCATTCATCACATATTGTATCTTCCTATCCAGAAAGAACTTAGGTGATAAGTTGAAAGATAAGATAAAGTGAAAATTCCTTGTTTGATCCCAGAAATTGCTATTTTAATGGCGAGTGTATCCTCTTGGGACTGGGGAGACCTGAGTGCAGTTCCCTGTTCTACCATGAACACCCTGGGTGACCTTGGACAAGTCACTGTGATTCAGTTCTCCACCTGTATAATGGGAATAAAAGGCTAGAGGAAAGGTTTTCACATGGTGGGGCATGAACTCCAGTGGAGGTGTGACAAGCTTATCAGAGCAGTCTCAGCTGGTAGGACCAGGCTCTATGCCTGTCTTGCTGCCACAGCTCCAGCAGTCACCAGTTACTGGAGTGCTGGAATGGATACTGCAAAAGGGCAGTTGAAGACCTACCCAGGAGTACTGACCATATACCAGACACAGCCCCCTCCTGACTGTGGCTCCAAGGCCCAACCCCCCACCAGCTTCCCTGTGCAAGGCAAGCAAATGAGGCTGAGCTGAAGGGCGGTGGTCAGGAGGGGGGATCCCTTGCAGAGGGTAGTGCTCATGAGATGCAGCCTTCTGCACCCCCCCATGAACCTGCCCTTCAGCATGGGAAGGTGGAGGAAGAAGCCCAGTACCCATAGCTCAATGGAAGGGTCTCCCCAGCAGGTACCTTCCTCCTGAAAGGGGGTGTGTGGGTGTGTGCACATGAGACATGAATTCCTGAAGGGAGATTCAGCAAAAGAAAGCATGGGAACATCAGGGCTAGAATAATTCCATCCCTTAAGGATAAATACACAAAAGATCCTGAGGCTCTGAAATACTAGTAATGAAGGCTATATAGGTACCTAAGATAAAGCTAGTACCCAATCCTTGAGTTCTTACTCAAGCAAACTCCCACTGACATCCATCCAGCTTATTCATCCATATTCTTTTACTGTGCCCATTACTATACTATTTCATACTATTGAGTGACTTCAGTGGGAGTTTTGCATGTGAAGGGCCCTAACATTAGTGGGCCTGAGTCTTCACCTCTTTGTACTGTCCATAGTCATTCACACCTGGGCCTAGAGAGTTTAAAATGCTATTACTTTGATAAGGTACCATTTTACACCATCTTTACATGACTACATAAGGTGAGAGGCAGTAGTTAATCAGTCCCTTCTGTTCATCTTATTTTGTAAAACTGCATTTTTCTGTTGATAGATGTTCAATAAGGATCAAATCTGAAATGTGACTGTCTGCCCAGTGAATAGCTCAGATTTGCATTGGTGCAGTTACACTGACAGCTAGCCATCAATTGCTGAAACATGGCTAATTTTAAGTCTAGACAAAGCCTGAGGCAAGTTTGAGACTTAAACCTAAAAAAACTAAAACTAAAACATCATTATCACCACTACTCGACTATGCTAGTAAATCTGTTCTACCACAGAGTATTTTTACAGAGGAAAAGACTTTTCAAGATTTAATATTTAGTTGTTTTTGCATTTCTTATTGTGCATCATTCCAGTAAAAGCTGTTGATTTCGTTTGCACTTAATATAAGTATGAATTTATTACATAAAACCAGTTTCTTATTATATTTTCAAACAAGTACCTTCTTTCTTTCTGCCCCTCTGCTGGCGGGGAGCTCAGTCAATACCTGCAAAACTATGCATTATCTTCCTTCCAAAAAGCCTCCTCTACCATGCTATCTATAAAATGCCTAGCATTTTGACCCATACTGTCTCATTATTTCCTTGTATTGCCTCATTATTTTCCATCAGTTTGCATCCATCTGTACTTTTTTGCCTTAGCGTTAGATTGTAAACGATTTGGGGTAGAGAACATATTTTTGTTCTGTTTCTGAATACAGAACCTAGTACAAAAGGGTACTGAAATTATAGAAACTATGATAATAAAATAAAAATAATGAAGGAGTAATGAACAAAAATAAACCCAGTTATTTAAATTGTTCTCCTCCTGAAAATCATCGCTCAGATCATGGTGGTCTGGGTTTTATTTTAAGGTTTGATTCAACATTTTTCTATGTATTTTGTAACTGAAAATGATCCAGTTAACTAGCAAGCAGAACATTTGCGATTGTAGGCAGACTTTTGCTAACCTTTCCAGGATCCCACTCTTGGGTTTTTGTTTGAAGCTGTAAAAGTTCATATGTTGTTTCCAAAGTTTCTATCTCTGGTTTTGGAAATCCAGGAAGCACGTTGTGTAGCTGGAAACCGAACAGTTCTAGCCAACTTCCAATATCTACAAAACAAAATAAGAGCATTCTTAGCAACAATTCTCTTAATTCTTGGGAAGTGTTTTGTACTATTTCTAGGAAAAGTGGACAGGTGGGATGAAGCAAAAGTGAGTGTTAGCGTTGCACTGGCAAAAGAAATTATGGTTCTTTGTTCTGACAGATGAGAAATTAGAACTGCCATTGGAGCTAGATACCTTTACCAAGAGCTAATCAAATCTCAAAGCATTAATAACTGATTGACATATTGATACGTTTTCTAAATTGGTTACCAGAAGATGATACATTATTTTATCATGTGGCATAGCTACCATCCTCTGTTCTGTATTGTGGATTCTTTCACATATCATGGAAAGGAATTCAGATAATACTGCCTCAACTTTTTGCCTTTTGCAAATTCTAGTGCTTAGCAAAGACAGCAAGCTATTTGCTTGCTTTATTGACTGAATCAAAGGTCACAGAAAATAGATAAAGCTATATGGGTTAAAGCTATATGTAGTAGGTTAAATACATTCAATTAAATTTATGCAAGTCGAGAGTCTACTCCTCTCCTCTGATGTGTGCAAATTTCACAAACTTGGATCCATATAAGGATTTGACCCAGAAGTTTTTTTAATGGTTTTTTTTTTTTACCTGTAGTATACTTAGCGACATCTTGAATTCTGCCAACTGGATAGTTATTTTCAAATGAGTAGAGATTAAATGGTTTGGGGATGATGTTTAAATGTTTCCACACATGATGATTTGGTGTTGTCCAACGTCCAGCAATGACATCATAATCTCTTTGACCCAAATGCACTAATTTAGTAAGAGAATCATAGAGCCCTCCATGAAAACCAATGATAACCTGAAAATCTGGATAAGTGTCTTGGTAGATATCTCCGTAAGGTGTGTATAGAATTTCTTTTATTACTTGACCCCGACTGCTAAAGACAGCTAGGGGTGTGCCAGTGTTGTCACAAGCAACATAATATTCTTCTCCACTGCTTAATTCCATCGCAATGAGATGGCCTTGAAGATCATAATATAGAGATGTTATTTCTGAGCTAGTATGATTGTATAAATGAGTAACTCTTATTGGATTGGAGAGATCAGCATAAAAGAACTGTAGGTGCTGTCCTAGACTTGATTTACTTGCAACTCGTCGTCCAAGCCCATCATAACAGTATTGCACAGTCCAACCAGACACTTTGTTGTAAGCTTTGTTCAAGAGACCATTGGAGTTATACTCAAATATTTCATTGCCTCTTTGTCTAAGAAACCCATCTTCATCCATTTTGTACTGAATTTCTCCAAGTCTAGTAATGCGATCTCTAAGATCATATCTCAGAGGAGTGAGACGGGCACTGTTTCCATGACTAAGCAAGTTTATATTTCCATTAAGGTCGTAACTATAACGCCACTGGGTTTTGTCATTCACAGAGACAGTTTGAAGTTGACCATCGGCATCATACTCATAAAAATACCTTGTTATGTTGGCATCTACTCCTACTCGTATATCACATATCACCATACGACCCATATTATCATACTGAATGGTCATCCAATAGGCTATGGACTTAAGAATTTCATATTGCACTTCAATCACCTGACCATTGGCACTAAAAATCTTGGTGTGTTTCATGACTGTGGTAGTTATAACTTGGTTTAAGTCATAATTGATTACACTGAATTTTCCAAATTGTTCAGTCCTTCCAGATACATCAACATATCGGTACAGATCTATAGGAAGAGGAGTCTCATTTATCATGGCCTGCATGCTGGTGACCCGGAAATTGTTGTAACTGTAGTCAAATCTGGCATTTACAAGTCCTTCTTCACTAAATCTGAAGATCTGACGACCAATAAGAGGGCCTACATATAGCAAATGGGGGTGAGGAGGAAGAAAACAAAGAAAAAGTGAATTAGGCCCACAGTATATTTAATATACACAAAAAATAAAAGAAGTTAATCTAAATGTATTCTCGAGTCTTATTATTATTTAACTATAATATCTTTAAGTGAGAAAAATATTTAATTCTTCTCTCATGGATTTATTTAGTACCAAGGTACTCCCTTAAATACTTATTACTTTTCTTTTAAACTAATGAAGTTTACATATAACTATGATTTCCATATAGTTATTCATAACCTAATATTAACTTGAAATTATTTTTAAAATGAGTAACACATTCCTCAAATAAATAATTCCTTTGAATGTTATGACAGAGAAACTTGAAAAATGCAACCATTAAAGGAATTTGATTTATTATTTAGCAAATGTCCACTTATTGGAATAACAAATCATCAAATATTATGAGAGCCATTTCATTGCAATTGATAATAAGAATGTTACATATTTTAAATAGTATAGTTTTTATATGTCTGCAGACAAACAGACACATTTTCCTACTGCAACATAAAAACATGATTTCAGTGGTAGATCTGATTTCAAGCTGTACACCAGATAGTGTTTGCAGGCAGAGGTGCCGACTTCCCTTCTAGCTGGGGAGTTCTTGCCCCTCTCCACGTCAGACACTGCTCCTACTCCACCCCTTCCACCAAGCCCTGCTTCTTCTCACTCCCACCCCCATTTCACACCTTCCCCTCAGACCCTGTTAGTGGTACTTCAGAAGTACTAGGAGGAAGGGGGAAGGGCAGGCATGGGGTGCACTCAGGGGAAGAGGAAGGGAAGAGATGTGGGAATTTGGCTGCCTATGTATGCTCTGCACCCCTTATTTAGCACTATATGTGTGTCAGCCCCTAAATTTGCAGGATCAGGGGCCAAAGTTTCACTACAAAGTGTCACCCTTTACAAATATTAATAGTTATAACCTACCTGTTTGCCTGTATCTGATGGTACAGATGAACCCATCATGCATTAGGTGTATTGTTTTAATAACCCCAGAGGATTCTTCATATGTAAATGTGACTTGAGTAGTATCATAAAGAATCTCTGATAGTCGGGACTGTTTGGTATACTTATAAAGGACCCTGCGACCCGTTCCAGGATACAGTATTTGCAAAAGTCGTCCATCTCTGGCAAAATCTTGTATGAAAGAAGCTGTGCTATCTGGTGGGGTGTATATATTGCGATAGTACCCAACTGAAAGCATGGTTTGCAAACCATGACGCACCATACTTGGCATGGTGACTGAGAGCAGATAATCAGACTGGTCATATTCAAAAATGTAGCGTCGCTGGCTGTGCAAAAGGACCATCACAGACTGCAATGAAATAGAAATGACATGTAAGCAACTGACAAAACAAATGATCATTAAAAAAGTAGGTATACACAAATTTTAAAAACGCATTGAAACAGATATTCATTTCTATTGTTTGTTTTTATTCTCTGTACAATGCAAAATAAAATTGTCAGCTTTGGAAAATGTGTGGTCAAGGAGGTTGCTTAGAGACTAAAAAAGACTGAAATAACAATCACTGCGAGGACACAAAAAGCCTTACTTTAACTCAGTAGGCCACTTTGAAACAGGTAGGGCACCTACTCAGAAGCAAATTCAGACAGAACCTCCCTCACTAACACAAATAACGTACTTGCAAATGTTCCTAGGTGATGAGAAAAGAAGCAACGTTCACTGTTGCTGATGATTTGTTTAGCTCTTATTGACATCCCATAGTGCTTATACCAGCTGTACAGACTTGTTCTCCCCAGAATGACTTCAGTACCATGATCCATCCTCTGTGTGCTCTTCTCTGCTGATGGTTTACCCACCAACATTGCTGAATTTCACCAGATTTATTAAGGAGTCCAAATTATTTGAGGGCTATTTTTTGTGTAAGTATTTATCTCTCTGGTGTTTAACCTGTAAGCTAATTTCTGTGAATAACTGATATTTGCTGTGTTGTTTAGTAGTGAGTGGTCAGAGAAATCACAAAATCTGCTTTCTGTTACCTGACTATAACTGGGCTAACACTAATGGGGCTAATATATTGAGTCTCTGGAAACTCTCACTCTCCCTGTTGAGAGCTATCATTGTAGAAATAAACCCAATACTGTACAAATTTATGTGGATTATTTGTAGAAAGTCTTTACAGTATTTGGCCAGCTCTAATAAGTACCATGATTGTTCTTGGGTAGTATATATCCTGGCCCCATAACATGAATGGTAGTATGTGTGTGTGATGGGCTTTACCAATTCTGCACTGGATTTGCAAGGATTAGCCAGGGTTACCAGCTAATAAAGGCTAGCTATAAAGACTAGGGGAGCAACTCAGTCTGGGCTGATTGTTGCTGGGGAAGGAGGTGCTGCCAGAGCACTGAAGGAAGAGCTGCAGACTGAACCACAGAGGCCAGTCAGCGAGGATTGGCCAGAGAAGCCCCCAGTCTTCAGGAAAGTGGCAAAGAAGGCTGCTATGGCGAGTCCAGTAGGAAGTAGTGCATGACAGGGTGATAGATCCCTGAGAACTCAGCGTGTTTTGGGTGGATTCCCCATTGAGCTAGTGATAGGCCACCCCACCGCTGACAGGGCGCTGGGCTAAGACCTGGTGGAGAGGGTGGGCCCAGGTCCCTGTATTCCATCCCCATTAACTCCAAGGGGGGCACTCCAACTGCTAGGCAAAACAGCCTTGCATGAAGGGGCACCGATATTGATTTTGTGACTGCAGCTACTAGGTCCCACTGCCCTGAAGGCAGGGAGTGATCACTGACTCTGACTGTTAGGTCTCATTACCCTGAGGGAAGGGAGTGATTACTGATGCTGACTGTTGGGCATCACTGCCCTTCAACAGGGGGGTGTTTGCAGTGACTGCAGCTGGTAGGCATGACTGCCTCATTGGGATGAAGTGTGGTTCTTGGCCTTGAGCCACTGGGATCAATACACAGACAGGGTGACACATGCTGTGAAAGGCCTCAGACAAAGGTGCCAGTTCGGGAGGGCAAGGGGGGGGAACAGCAGCTGTGTGCTTTGGGACATGGCTTGTTTTTCATCCCATTCTCCAGACTTTCCCTTCACTCCCTGATATTCCGGGGAATGGGATGAAAAGCAAGCCGCATTCCAGAGCGCACGACTGCTGCACCCCCTACTCTTCCAAAATGGTGACCTCAAAGGCCTAACACCCTGCCTCTGAGGGGGACAGCCATACCCACACCGTGACAGCTTGTTATAGCAAAGTACTTAGATTCTGACCACATTTCTACAAAGCACTTAAGTACATGAATAGCCACATTAAGTGCTTTGTATGATTTATGCCAAAGTGTTCAGAAACACTGTGACCATCCTTCTAGGACACCAGAACACTAGGAACAAATTAAGAAAAACAACTCATTTCTAAGCATAAACCCTGCCAGGACAGAAAACAATAAGGTTTAATCCTGCAAGGTGCTGAATGCTCTGGCCCTAAACCAGTTGACTCAAACACTAAACGTCTGCCCAAAGGAAAGAGGTAGACTAAGCCAATCCTCTTTAAATTCCTCTTTTTTTCTCCCTCGCTATTTATTTCAGCCCACCTTTGGTGAAAGACATCTGTCATCTGTACATAGGACAAAGATCGTCAACATTTGCCATGCTAGAGTTACCCAGCAGGTGAAGACAGACTTTCCACCAAGCTTTTCCTGATCACTTAATTGCCAGTTTGTTAAACATTTGTAACATACTCAGAGGTGTTATTTTATTCTCACTTTCCAGTCCCTAGTCTGCAGTAAACCACTGACTGAACTCTCTCCCTACTGATGTGATGATTCTCTTGCTATAATGCTCCCTCGTCTGTCATTGATAGAGTATGAATAACAAGTTCAGAAACATCTCTAATATAACTTTAGTGCCCCTCTGTGCCATTTTCACAGCACTATGGTTTTTTCCACTTTTGTGTGGGACAGCAAAAGGACAGTACAGGAGCTGGTGACATAATATCCTATCCAGTATTATCACTGTGTATTATAAAAATAATAAAAGGCAATTTCCTATTTATTCTAAAAATAGATTTTGAATTATGCAAGTGAGTCCTAATTGATTGAAAAGGATTTCATGGCCTAGCTCACAGGGATTGAAGCCTTCATGATGTTTTCTGATAAACAACTTGAGTTTATAGCTTGGACTCTCCTTTGAGAATATACAAAACAGATACCCTGCTAAAAATGACCACTAGATGTCACTTCCACTCAACATAAACATGCAGTTGCCGAAGTATTTTGTCTGGTTGCAAACTTTGGCTAGTCAGTGTTTTTTTACAGGAATAAGTTAATTAGTGTGACCAAGTTAAAAAAATATTCTGTAATATCATCATGGTGCCTTACCCATAGGAATCCTAACCTGATGGCAGGGAATCTTACTCATAGGAACACTAGTTAGTACCCTACACATAGCAGTCCTAACCCTAGGGAGAAGATTCATACCCACACAAATCCTAACCCTAGCTTTAAGAGCTATATCCATAGTAACCCTGACCCTATAACAGATAGCACTATCCACTGGAACCCTTAATTCTAGGGTGGGGAACCCTACCCATAGTAACCCTAAACCTAATTCCAAGTGCCCTACCCATAGAAACCCCCTACATAGCTCCAAGTGCACCTTCCTATGGGAACACTAACTCTCACTCCAAGTTCCCTACATGTAGTATTCGTGCAAGGCCCTCTATCCATATTCCTAACTCGAAGTGGCCTACACAAAGGAACCTTAAACCAAGAAAGGTGATTCTTCCCATAGGAAAACTAACCCTATCTCCAACTGCTGTAACTATAGGTACCTGAATCCTAGGGTGAGAGGCCGAATCCATAGGAACCCTAACTCAGGAGCAGGGATCTGTGCCAATAGGAACCTTTATCCTATGGTGGGGAGCCCATCCCATATGAATCTAACCCTCAGGCAGGAAGCCATATCCATTGGAACTCTTACCTAGCTTCAAGTGCCCTTTCCATAGGAACCCTGACCCTAGCTACAAGTGCTTCTGAAAATTCAATTACTTAGAAAGGAGTGAAGTTTGGCCAGAATTAAGGCTCCAGAGTACCATAATTAAGCCATAAAGAAAGCTAATTAGATGAGAAAATGTATATATATAAACTGTAATTTTAATACGCCAAAGTGAATGTCCTATTGATTTTGTACTAAAAATAAATAATTGTGGAGGATTCAGAAACTTATAGCTTCAAAAAACTATTAACACAATAAACAATTATTTCTCAGTGCAACATCACAAACTCTTTGCTTGATGCACACAAGGCTTTATTGGACCAACTCTGAACTTGCTCAATTACCATCTGAAACACTTACTGGTGACAATATCCACTGTACATATGGAGGATCATGTCGAACTTTCATTAACTCTCATAGTTGCATGCAGTGTTATTGTAGCTGTGTTGGTCCCAGGATATGAGAGAGACAAGGTAGGTGCGGTAAGATGTTTTATTGTGTTAGCTTCTGATAAGAGAGACAAGCTCTTAAGCTTACACAAAAGTTGGCCCAATAAAAGATCTCTCACCTCCCATGGGAATTATAGTACAAAATTCCATGTGAGCCAGTAGAAGTTTTTGTCATTATTTCCTGGAGTGGGGAGGGAGGGACCAGGAGTTAGCCATGTGTGTAAAAACTCCTGCACATTAACTTATCCATCTATATTTGTGAATTCAACACAGATTAGGAAAAAATAAACCAGCTGAGAAGTTGAAATGGACAAACTCAGGTCCAAAGAAGAAATATGAAGATACCTTCACAAGCTATTTTCATGGCACTGCCCGAATATGAAACCAAGCAATACCAAAAATCTGTTTATTTGTAAGTTTCTGATAAATACACAGAGAAGAGAATTCCTGATAAATTCATCTGAACCAAACTTCATAAATTTCTATGGTTTGTCTCTGGATTAGATTGCAAATGTATACTTTTAAGATATCTTCTGCTGTACACATTTTTAAGGTATTTGAGTCTCATCATCTAAAAAATTCAGTCTGATCATCAAAAAAATTGCAACTTTAGAAAGTACTAGAAGATTAATTTTGGTTTTTAGGAAATAAAATTAAAATGTACATGCTTCATTTATTTCTATCTCCTTTCATTCTTTTTCAAAATGCTGGATAAACAGCCTTGGAAACTAATATTGTATGTACATGCTACAATACAGGCAGTGGTACTATAAACTTCCTAACATTGTTGCATAATTCTGACCTAGAAGGGCCATCTTTAAGTCAGAGGATAATGCAGTTTCATTGCTGTGGGGTGGGCCTGCGTATGGCTGGTACAGTATGCAGGCTGCCCCGGGGAGAGAGGACTAC